TGGACCCCCTCCCCCCAGTGACGAGTGTAGCTCCACCCCTGGTCATATTTATTTAATTAATAAAAGTGTACCCTTAATTGAATTTTTTGTATGAGAAATAGAGGATATGACCTTGAACTATGCTTACTATAGTTTAACTAATATCAATATGTACGTGGCAACTTAAATAAACTAAACTATATGACGTGATACTTTAGTAAAGTAATTAATTGATTTTGGGTCGAAACGAACAAAATGTACAAAAGTTGTAGGTTAGATCTCATGAAATACGTGAATTTTGAAATATGATATTTAACTTCTACTAGATCGAAACCTATATTGCATGGACACTTATATCATGAACCATACTCATATGTGACACTTTCCGTACCCATACCTGACACTTCTTGGAGACTCCTTGAATATATGCATACATTTACTCAAACATATACCTAGTTATATAATATATGTTTTAATTTAAAGGGTTATTTTCACATATAACCCTTAAATCATGGTTATTTACAAAAATATCCTCCAAATCTTAGTATTTACAAAACTACCTCTCAAATTATCAATTTTGGAAAAAATACCCTCAAAACAATTAATCATCAACTTTGATAAACTAATTTGTAATTGCAATGTAAAAATTATCAACAAAATGGTCAAAATTTTAGCACCAAATTGATGATTTGTTGATTTTAGGGGTATTTTTTTTACAAAGTCGATGATTTGAGGGATAGTTTTGCAAATACTAAGATTTAGATGGTACTTTTGCAAATACCCATGATTTAAAGGGTATATTTGCAAATGACCCTAATTTAAAATAGTCATTTATATAATACATGATAAAAGAAACACAAAAATGATGTAGAAGTTTTGATTTTTTTAAACATATGAATGAAAAAAAAAAAGAAATTTTGATCTCATGTAAGTTACTAATTTTCAATGTATATATAGCCATGTCCCTGTAGTCTACTTGTGATACATTTGTCGTTCCCTGTACCATGCAACCGTACTCGTGTCTGTACCCGTACCCATGCAACATAGGTTTAAACGAACAAAAATGAAACAATCATGGGTTGTGCGCATGAAATCGCGAATATTGAAATACGCGTACTTAATTGCCATTGTATCAAAAGGAATGAAAATGGACAAAAGTCGTGGGTTATAGGCTACACTTTTACATAATTATCTATCTTGCAAAAATGTTCATTTCCAATTTTCTTCTTTATGTGTATATGGAGTTGGTTCCTTAAAATTTTGATTTATCCGTCTGATACCTTTTCTTGAAAATCTTGTATGTGGTGCCTTTTTTGTTATCTTGTCTTCTGGATTATTCTTTTCATGTTATCAACCAAAAAATGTTATATTAGTAATTCTTTAAAAAGTTTGTGCAGGCATTGAAAAGTGGCCTGGCAAACAAGTACATAGTTACAGCTATCGCATCCCAGAACCTTTTCAGGATCAGGTATTTTGTATAAACTTTCATTAAGGACCTGTTTGGAAACCATTTAAATTGGTTTATCGGAACAAAACCAGTTTTAACTTTTAAGTACGGAACTTGTTTGGCAAAGAACTGGACCAAGACTTAAAACCGATTTTGTTACCAGTTTTTGGCCTTAAATTGGTTTTGTGTTGCTCCAACCCCGGTCTAGAGCTAAACTGGTTTAGGTCAAAACAGGTTTGGGGAAAAGTTGCTAAACTGACCCTATGTACCCTATAATCTATTACTCTTAAGTTACAAATCTGAGAACATAAACTATAGGGAGACAGTTATATGTAGAATCCTTAAAAGGATTAAAAGGGTGATGGGTGATATTTATAACAAAATCAGGATAAGGTTGTACATGGTACAAAGTTGGCACATACAAACCTCCCATATGTCAAAAAATGTCTTAGCCTTTATAAGTATATGTTTGTGAAATGAATTGTGGTGTAAAGTCTGCATTTCTGCAAGTATTATGGATATAAGGCGTAGTAGTTGGCAACCTGTAGTCCATTAGGTTTGATCTTTTTTACTTGCATTCGTGTTAATAGTGAGACCACTGCAGTCTGCAGTGCACAATCTAAAGATGATACTGAACACTTTGTCATGGTAATGTGCAACTTTCTCCAGAAAGGTTTGTTTAAGAGAGGCACAATTCTGTAGCAAAACTCAAAGATAGAAGGCTCTCGTTGACAAGCTTATAGGAAGAATATCAAGTACCTAAATGATGGTGAGTTCACATAGGTTGTAAAGGCTCGTTAAACTGAAAGCATTGAGCAATAGTTCAGCCTGTTAACCTACAGGTAGAATGCCTGAACAAATTTTTCTAGAGACTCCCAAATTATCAAAAAATACGATGCTAATGAAAGTTGTCAAAATAATTATGGGGAAGAAGCAGTTTATCAAGCACAATATCTTGTTGACAGATTACTCAATATTGCAGCAAACATTTGGATCATTTGGTCTGGCAAACCATTCTCCTGCGCAGAGTTTGGAGCGTTGGTGGTCTTATTTACTCCTTGACTATTGAAGTGCTCTAAGTTACCATGTCAAAGAAGTTTTTTCTTCATAAAACTAGAGTCCACGGGATCCAAAAGCTAACGGGTAAATTTTAAACAAAGATGTAATGTATTTGATGAAACAGAAACAGTGACCTTTATAAATAATGAATAGACCTAGCATTAGAAAACAGACACATTAATGATCATCAAATTCAGGATGATGAATCTCGTTGTGCTAAAAATTCAAATGAATGACGTTTATATAGTTTTTAAACAGCACGATTATGGTGAATTGATGAGAAAGGACAATCCCTGTGAAGAAAGACAATTATTTCACTAAAAAAGAAAAGAAAAAGACAGAGCACCAGTCTAGTATGTTTGTTTAGACTAAATTGTGATTTTTGCATATAGTGAAAGTTCTACTTGCTACATCTACATGACATGGAGTATAAGGAAACAATAAGCTGACCTACAGTTTTTACAGATAAGATTCTGTGTGGAGTCATAGTAAGAAGACATTGAGAGCTAAGGTTCATTGGTTCATCATAATGCTATGTAGATAAAAAGTAAGAGAGATTCAATATTGAAAGTGCAAACCTTTTAAATTATTGTAATTTCAGTTATCCTCCAAATTGAGTCCTATTATGTATGTATCTCCTTTTTTGAGCGTAGCCCCATGGGATCATAGTTGTTTGTATGCCCTCATGCGGACACTTTCATATTTATTATTTTAATGAAAGTTCATGTTAAATTCAGGAAGGTAATGTCACGCCCCGGGCCCATGGACCCATTGGCGCGTACAAGACATGGGACCCACTGTGAGCAACTCGATGTTAGCTAAAATCTACTGTCAAAATGCTAGCACTAGTTGTTCTTGGGCCTTGGGCTTTTCTCTATTTAAACCACTAACATTTCTTCATATTAGTCTATGTGGGACTAAAGTGTGGGGTGCCACAATCACCCCACCTTACAAAGATGACGTCCTCGTTGCCACCACATGACAATTGACACATCTCAGTGTCACTGCCAGGTGATGTGGATTTTAGAGGTGGCTCCTACGTGTTCTAGAGATAGCTCCCACCGCATCCACGCGGTGTTGCACTTAGCTCCATATAGCACTTAGCTCCACACTTCCAGTTGGTAACGGCTCTGATACCATTGGTCACGCCCCTGGCCCACGGACCTATTGGCACGTGCAAGCCGTAGGACCCATCGAAAGCAACTCGATGTTGGCTAAAATCCACTGCCAAAATGTTAGCACTAGTTGTTCTTGGGCCTTGGGCTTTTCTCTATTTAAGCCATTTACATTTCTTTACATTAGTCCATGTGAGACTAAAGTGTGGGGGTGCCACAAGTAATGCATTAAAATGAATATCTACTCATTTGAAAGGTACAAGCAGATATTGGCATAGTGTTAAGGGAAGAATCGTGAGATAGGTTGAGGTCTCTGTTTTGTGCTTATTATGCAAGTGACCATGATCAAGAATTATTTAACAATTCTGATTTTGGAGGGCTTGGTACTCTAGCCATATTTATTGGAAAAAAAAATCTTGTTAATGTCATCTTTACCGGAATCTTCATGCTTTTTTCTTTTTCTATGTTATAAATCAAACTGATTACATTTATTTTTCATTTGACAGATACTGGTTATAATAGGTAAAGGAGCTAGTGCACATGACATCTCTAGAGAATTATCAAAGGTGGCCAAAGAAGTCCACTTAGCATCAAGATCTCCAGATTTCAAAGTTGGGAAGTTAGATGGCTATAATAATATTTGGCAGCACTTAATGGTATGTTATAACTTGCAATCAAATTTTATTTATTTGTTTTTCTGTTGAAATAAAATATAATGATGAGCCATTTATTATTTCATTTATGGTTATTTGCTTATATACTCTCCAAATCATCTATATATGCAAATTTACCCCTCAAATCTCCAATTGAATAAGAACGCCCCTCACTTAACACAGTAAGAGAATATACCTAATATATTCCTTTTCTTCTGTCAGGTTAATATAATGGCTAAAATAGCCTTCTATTTAGTTAGTTAACCTTATTTACCCACATTTATGTCCCTCGCACTTTTATCTAAATGCGTTTTCCCTTAATGCTAGCATTTTCAGTTTTTCTTTCACATTCCAACACAGCGCTGCTGCTTGTCGAAACATTCAAAGCAAATCCTATGCATGCTTAGTGCTTATATAAGCGTGTCAAAGAGATACATTGCCACAAACATGTGTTACATCAATAAATGGGTTACAAAACAGGATACCAACATAAACTGGTGTAAACAAAATCCCATCAATAGATCAATGGAAGTGCCTCCAACTCTAACGCAAAAAAAAAAGGAGATGAAGAAAGAAGAAAGAGAGAAAGAAGGAACAAAAAAAAAGGGGAAAAAAAAAACAATGGTTCAATCTAATCCCATCAATCCTCATCTTCTCAAACTCAATTCAATCCCATCAATCCAGATCGCTAAGAAGCAGAAAATGTTAAAATTTGGGCTTCCACCATCTCTTATGAATTCACCTGAAAGTAATTACGAGTGTGCCGAGGACGAAATTGGAGTTCCAAATTCGGCCTGCCGGCCTACTGTAATTGGCATGGACGATATAGGATCCAAGAGAGGCATCATAAGCCCGAGGTAGTTGAGGTGGTGGCAAAAGTATTTCCCTTTTCAGGCTTCCAACATTTCCATTTTATATAACACTAGAGGTAGGATGAAATAACCGGAATTGGAATGAGGTTCATTTGAGTGGAGGGCTAGATAATTAAATGTCTCCTTCCGCCATTAAGAATTTACGATATTAAGTAGGTGTACTTCTATTCGATACTGAAGATTTGCAGAGCAGATTTGTAAATATGGATGATTTGAGGGGTATACTTACAAATAACCCTTTTGTCATTAGTTTGTATGTATATACCCCTTAAATAAAACTGCTCCCTAAATCTCAATATTTGCAAAACTACCCCTAATATCATTATTTTTAGAAAAAGAGCATCTTCCAAATCCCCTAATATCATTAATTTTGGAAAATAATCAAATTTTTACTCACCAAGTCCAATAAAGTTGATGATTTGTTAACTTAGGGGTTGTTTTTTCTTCTCTAAAGTTGATGATTTGGGGGTATTTCTTAAAATATTGAGATTTAGGGGGTAGTTGGCAACTACACATGATTTAAGGAGTATATACACAAATAACCATTAATTATTTTGGAACATCATTGCCAGACTCACAATATCAAGAATGTTGTGCGTGACGGCCAAATGTAGGGGTGCCGAGAACAAACATAAATGCCGAGAGAGAAAGACACACACGACCAAAATAACAGTATGAACACAAACAAACGAACTTTACGTGGTTGGCCAAGTTGCTTACGTCCACGGGGCAAGAAAGGGATGAGTTTTCACTAATAGAGAAGAAGAGTACAAACTAAGATTACAAAATCACTCAAACTCACCAATTAAAATCTCACAAACAAAACTCTCAATTTTTCAAACAAAACCTTAACCAATAGCTCAGAAAAACTCTCTTTTCTATGCTCTAAATAACCCTTTGATTGCTCCTCAAAAACTCTAAAAATCGTGTTTGTATTTATACCAAACACAAATCCAAACAGAACAGGAAACCGCAATCAGGCCCAAACTCGACTGACGGTCAACCGTCGAAATCGTCGCGGTCGACCGACCAGAAAGACAGAAACCAAAAAAATACATTACAGAGTCCGTAGTCGATCGCACTTGACGTTGTGGTCGACCGACCAGAGCTCCAGAAAACCACCTTGTAACATGCACGTTTCTGGTCGACCGTCCCAAAGCTCGCGGTCGACCGGCAAGCACCCAAAGCTCTGCTTGCTCCAAAAATCATGTTCTTTTCCAATGTTTTCGTCGTTTCTACAATTCTTCACTTCGGCGAAGTTTTTTTCAAAACTGAGCCGACTCCAATATCAACCAAACGTCTCACTTATTACGTTTAGTACGAAGTGGAATCAATCCACGACAACGGACTTAATCCACAACAAGTCGATAACCCAAATGAGAATACAAACAAATTTTAAATATCGGTATCAACTCACCAAACTGGCTGTATCATCAAATGACTGCCTACGTATCTTCTTGCCCAAAGAATCAAGTATTCACGTAGTTCACCAAATGACCTTCAAAGACCCTCAATCAACGAGAAGAGTTTTCAACCCTTCTCCAACATCACCAACAAATCTGTAATTGATAACTCTCCAACTGACCTCAAAGTGAAACGAACCAAACACCTCCACCTGAGTTGAACCAACGGTCATAGCCAAATCCGAACTATGTCCATCAGCTACACTCGAATCAAAAAACTCATCATCTGTATCAACACACATTTTTCCCAATCTGTGTTACCTCAGTTGGAATCCCATACGATACAGAATGATCTAGAGTACGTGGAGTAATCTCCATCCAACATGGAGTAGCATCACTCTCCACCCGCTGTAATATCCTAATCATCTGTCCAACACTCTTCACCTGTTGAGAGTCAAAAGTAACATACATGCTCAGAACAATATTAGAGTCTAATACTTAATAACTAAACATGACTTTGAATCCCAAATGTGCACTCCGATGATAATATGCTCGACATTCAAATATCCGAAGCAACCCAAAATCTGAAGCAGCTCCACCAGATCTAAATACACAATCGTAACAGTCGACAACCTATGAATAAGACGACTCCAATATGTTGAAGCCTCAACACCAGAACTACTCTACAAACCAATGCTCAACATCAAACACCGATTCCCCTCCAGCAAGGAACGACTCATCAAATCTGTCACCTCCTCTCGTCGCCCTAATGTTTCCTCTCCAATGAAGTATCAAATTACCGTGAGCTCGACACAAATACAGAAAAGAACCCCTACCAAAATCAGAACGACGTATTACTTTTCTACCAATACACTTCTTCCACCTATTGTTGACTATTAGGACTTTACTCCAACGGGATTTGGTTGCAACCCACAAATGCCTAGAACAATCTCTAACATAGGAAATCAAATACCTATTACCTCCAATGATGCCTCTTTGGAAGGCCCCCAAATGCCTACGTGAACACCACATAGAAGATCATTCGCTCGATGAATAGAAGTGTCAAACTCCACCTCGGTCTTCTTGCTCACACTAACATGTTCACAGGACTTCAATCTGTAGGTCACGACACCTCTTACCAATCCATGCACAGTATCAACACTCGAATATCCCAGTCTCAAATGCCACAGTCTAGCCAAATTCAAAGAAGTCGTCAGCTCTTCACCTGTCACCGTGCTTTCAATCAAATAATACAAATTGTTCTTCCTGACACTCTTCATCACAATCATAAACCCCAATATGACCTTCAAAGATACATCCTCTAAGGTCACCCGATAGCCTGCTGTCTCCAAAACTCTAAGTGAAATAATATTCTTCAACTGCGGAACGAGTCTCATTTCCTTCAATTCCCGAATCACCCCGCACACATCCTAATCCGAATAATACTAATACCATCCTATGTAGCACGAACACGGGTCCGACACGGTCATCCGACACGCCGACATAAGACAAATCCTAAAAAATACATAGGATACGTGTGTTCAACATGTGTGTCCGACACGGACACGACACGACACGGATTCATGTTATGCGTGTCCGTGCTTTATAGATACCATTAATAGGACATTCATGATCATTACTCATGAGCACGACATCCACTCTTTTTAACTCCTCAAAGCTGGAGAACCAATCCTTTTTAGGGTAAATGTGGTATGAAGCACCCGAATTCAACATCCATTCCGTAGAGTCGGCAACACAAACTGACGGTAGTGTAGGGCACGAATAGCCTGAAGAATTCGAATCTGAATTGTCGCCACTAGTCTTGACAACATTCATCTTTGAAGTTTGTATAGTTTTCCTCTTATTCTTCTTAGCTCAATCTTTTAACTTTGGGCATTCAGACTTCCAATGTCTGTCTTTTTTACAAAAAACACATTGATTCCTACCAATTGAAGGATGTTCTCCTCTAGACTGCGACTTCCTACTTCGGTTTGGACTCTTTCCTCTTACGACCAATGTCCTCGCTACTGTATCAATCGAAGTCTCCTTATCCTTCCTCTGAATCTGATAATTCACAAGTGTAGCGGTGATCTCTCTATACGAAAGAGATGTTTTTCCATTAATAAGAGTAAGAACAAATATCTTATATTTCTCGTCAGGTAAGGAACTCAACAACAATAACGCATTGTCCTCATCTTTAATCATAACACCCACTCATAACACCCATATTCGTCAAATCCGCAAGAAGCTTCGTGTAGTGGTTCATGTGATCACCAATGGAGGTTCCCTTCTTTAATTGGAAGCGATAAAGTCTCATCTTCAAATGCAAGTGGTTTTCCACACTCTTTGTCAGATACTTACTCTAGGATCTCCTAAATCTTCTTTGCCGAAGTCTCATTGATCACATCATATTTCAAATCTTATGTTAGACAAGACCTAATCATACCACACGCCATTCAATTCATCTTATTCCAAACATTTTCCTCAATGTCGTCTAGCTTGCCGTCCAACTCTAACGTGTCTTTCAAATTTTACGCATTAAGCGCATTTAAGACTTCACATCTCCAAAGACTAAAATTGTTAGTGCCGTTAAATTTCTCCACGTCTATTTTTATAGATTGAATACTCAAACTTTGGACGGTCTTCACGCCAGAAGTACCCTCCACAACTCTTTCTTTCTCGGTCATCTTTCTCAAAGCATCAACAAACTAATACATAACAACTGAAGAATAGATCCAAACTGAAAAAAGAGATTTTTACCTCTAACTGAAACTCTAATAAGAGCCTCCGAAAGATCTCACCCCCACACGACGGAAGACAAGATCCACAATAGTAAAAATCCCACCTTTGTCATCAACTGAAACCCTAGACGAGCTTCCGAAGCAATATACTCTACCTAATCCTAAGCGTAGCCTGAAGCTCTGATACCACTTATTGGGCTCTGATACCACTTGTACGTGACGGCCAAACGTAAGGGTGCCGAGAACAAACACAAATGTCGAGAGAAAGACACACACGACCAAAATAACAACACAAACACAAACAAATAAATTTTATGTGGTTCGGCAAATTGCCTACGTTCACGGGGTAAGAAGGGGATGAGTTTTCACTAATAGAGAAGAATAGTACAAACTGAGATTACAAAATCACTCAAACTCACTAATTAATCTCACAAACAAAGCTCTCAATCTCTCAAACAAAACCCTCCTTTGTCATCAACTGAAACCCTAGACGAGCTTCCGAAGCAATATACTCTACCTAATCCTAAGCGTAGCCTGAAGCTCTGATACCACTTATTGGGCTCTGATACCACTTGTACGTGACGGCCAAACGTAAGGGTGCCGAGAACAAACACAAATGTCGAGAGAAAGACACACACGACCAAAATAACAACACAAACACAAACAAATAAATTTTATGTGGTTCGGCAAATTGCCTACGTTCACGGGGTAAGAAGGGGATGAGTTTTCACTAATAGAGAAGAATAGTACAAACTGAGATTACAAAATCACTCAAACTCACTAATTAATCTCACAAACAAAGCTCTCAATCTCTCAAACAAAACCCTAACCAATAGCTCAGAAAACTCTCTTTTCTGTGCTCCAAATTACCCTTTGATTGCCCCCCCAAAACCCTAAAAATCGTGTTTGTATTTATACCAAACACAAATCCCAAACAAAACAGAAAAATACAATCAGGCCCAAATCTGACTGGCGGTCGACCGTCGAAATCGTCGCGGTCGACCGACCTAAAAGACAGAAACCAAAAAAATGCATTACAGGGTCTGCGGTCGACCACACTTGATGCTGCGGTCGACCGACCAGAGCTGCAGAAAACCACCCTGTAGCATGCACGTTTTCGGTCGACCGCCCCAAAGCTCGCGGTCGACCGACAAAACACCCAAAGCTCTGTCTGCTCCAAAAATCATGTTCTTCTCTAATGTTTTCGCCGTTTCTACATAAAACTAGGTCCATGGTACTGTATGATTCTTTGACCTGCAATTTGTATGTAATCATGACATGTATAAGCCCAAAAGTAAACTGTTGTTTGCAATCCTTGCAGATAAAGAACGTTAACGAGGATGGTCTGGTTGTATTTGATGACGGCTCATCATTACATGCAGATACAATTCTCCATTGCACAGGGTTTGTTCATTTCTCTACTGATTACTTAATACCTTCGTTTTCTGGGCAAATACATCTGAACTCCGGGTGTCAAAGGAATTGGATTGAACCCAAAACCCACCTGACTCAACCTGAAAAGTACAGATTTTTTGGAATCTTTGAAAACTACCCAAAATGCAACAGTCTTTTTTATTGTTTTATTTTATTTTATTTGCAAAACCCTCCCAGACCCTAATCCGAAAAGCTAGAAATCATATCATAACTGAACCTGCCCAAAAGCTTCCAAATAAATACATATACATGCATTTTAATTTCTAATTTAACGAAATATTTGATTCTTTCGAAATTTAGAATTCTTGATCATCATGATACATACTAATTTACTTGTTGTGTTAACCGTGCATTATTGCTCATAGTGAAAAGTAATGCGGAAAGGCTTTTGAATTCAAAGTCAACTTTGCATGTGATGAAATAATTAGATTTCGGGTGAAATTATAAAAATTATATTTACAGATATGCTATTAATCAAGTAATGTTGAAGAATAATCTGTCCTATCCTTCACTTCATACAACACTGACACCTGACTTGAATCCTGTTATACAATCCAATATTTGAGGCTCACATACAAATGTGCTCAAATGTCCTGCCCATCCAACCTTAACTAGTTATGTTTTTTTTCCTGTCTTTTTTTTAAAACTCGATGTAACATTATATTCTTTTACTTACTACGCTGGATTTCTGTAATTTCAGTTTAATTCTTTTCTTAATGACTTCATTTACAGGTATAAATACCATTTTCCTTTTCTAGATACAAAAGAAACTGTAAGCGTTGACGACAACCGTGTTGGACCATTGTATAAGCATGTTTTCCCTCCACATTTAGCTCCATACCTTTCCTTTGTTGGATTACTCAGTAAGGTCAATTGTTAATTATTAACTCTATTTACTAGTTTTTTTATGAATGAAACATTAGTGGATGTACATAGTTTATATTTTTATGATAAGTAACTAAACAAGGGATTTTATCGGTTGCTTTATACTGGATATTGTTCAGCTTAATATGGTAGCATGGATATGATAATATTGGGAAATTATTTCCATTGATGTGGTTTCTTTGAAAGCCTTGATATTGGTCACAAGTCACAGCCTTGGTTTCTGTTTGCCTTGCTTGGAGTCAATATCAATAATTTCTGAGAGTTTGAATCTGAATTATCTTATTCTTGGTATTGATGACTTAAAAAAATAGAAAAAAATTCTGAACTAGAGAAACATCAATCACAATTTGTATTTTCTATTCATCTTTTCCAAATACACAACAATTTTATCAACTTCTGGTGCTTCAAATATTAATTTCCACTTAAACTAGGATTAGGATTTTGATTTAAGGTGTTATTCTTTTAGAAGTAGGATTTGAAGTACTAGTTCTGTTTGATTCTTCCCATCTTGGTTTTCTTCTTTCAGGGATAGATTAAAGTTAGGAGACATTCTAGTGATACTCTGCCTGAAAATATTGATATTTTAAATGGCAAGTTGAAAATTAACCAGGCAGCAAAGGAAGAAAGTTTTCCTCTTTCCTTTCTACTTCCTGAGAAAGAGCTGCCATTAGAAATTCAATTGATGCAATCTTTATTTAAGAAAGTACCAGGAAGATACGAAGAAATCATATTTCATAAAGTTTTGTAGTTGAATCCTCCTTAAAACTGCCTTATATGGATTGAATACACTACTGTTTCAAAAATATTAACAACCACCAAGGCTAATGGACAGAAAAAAAAATTGAATCCTACCTTTTTTTAGGTAATAAATTAAGTAGTTGTATTACACCAAAAAAAGAAACCACCTTAATGATCTCTCTTAATCCATGGCATCACAAAGAGGTGTAGCAGATCCGTACTTAATTTTAAATGTGACATACTTAATGTCTACTGTTGATCAAATTTTAAGAGAAGAGTCTATGATCCATGATTTTTGATCCTCAGTCTGATATGAGTGATTTTAATATTTGTTTTATGATATGATCTTGATTTTGATCATTCTTGATTTCAATTCTAATTTTCTCTCTGCAGTGTGAACATAAGTCACTAAGATTATCATTTTGAACGCTTAATGAAAGGAATGGCTATGGGTTTAACACTTTTCCTTTCTGGCCAGAAGTCATAACCCAATCTTGATGCCTGGGGTCTCTAAAGCAGATTTTTTGGAAAAAACATAAAATCCTGAATTTGTTAATTATCTTCCTGCTAAATGCAAATTGATGGTATGAATTTTTAATGAGCCAAAGCGTTTATACTTTCTCATCCTTAGGTATGATGTTTTTCTCAAGGCTCGATAGACAATTTGATTGGCTGATGATTTCTGTATTCCTTTTTTCTTTTTCCCCCTTTTTTGTGCCTCTTTCCTCCTGATATGACAAAGAATATGAAGTAGCTTCAAAATCCCTATAAGAAAATTCACTTTATTGTCAGGTTATCATCTTTATGTCAATAGATTTACAAGCCAAATGGGTAGCACGTGTACTATCCGGCAAGATTTCATTGCCACCAGAAGATGAAATGGTTGCGTCAATGGATGAGTATTACTTTCAAATGGAAGAGATCGGCAAGCCAAAACGCCACACACATGAACTTTATCCAGACGAGGTTCGGATCACAACTTGCTACTTATTTCTCAGCTGAAATGTTAGGAGTGTCTCATATCCATTCAGTTTTAGTCTGAGTATGGTTTAGCCAAGACATGAGATGAGATTTGGTCACACATTCAAATGACAATTAGATGATATATAGTTAAATATGCTTGGACTGATGACTCAAATGACTGGTTAACAGGTTGAGCACCTAAACTGGCTCACTGCTGAGGTTGGGTTGCCTCCATTGGAGGATTGGAGATTCCAAATCTATCGTACAGTTTTGCGGCGCATATCAGCCCACGATGATAATTATCGTGATAATTTAGACGTTGATTCTTTGATCCAACATTCACTTCCAAGGTTTCCACAATTTTTATGCTGATAATTTGCTCGTGTAATAATCCGAAAATCGATTGCTGATATGCTTTTTTTCTTGCAGGGTCCAGATCTTGCAATAAACATCCCTTGATGTTTGATGATATTCTGAAGGATTTTTATTTATTTATTAGGGGAGTTCATCAATGTTACAAAATTACTCGAGAAAGTTTTGACTTGTCCAAGGTGAATCTACACGTATCGTTTCCATTGAGCTCTATATTCATGCTTCTCAAGTCTTCTGCTTTGTTGCGTTTCTGAAATCTACGCATGCGATTCTTCGAATGTATTCACTACCTGAACTTTGACTTTTTAAGCTGTGAATAAATACTGGGGATTGTAAATGTGGGTCTTGGTTTCGCAAAGGTTCAAGAAAGAGGGATTAACGAGAAGGACTAAGGGATAATAATAATATGAATGACTAATAGATGACTATTTTTCCTACCAAGTAGATTTAACTAATACGCATGCATTCAAGGGTACATGAAGTGTTCTCTGAGAAGGATGAAACTGGCCGAGCTAACCCTGACTAATAGTTATGAGCACAAGATTACACTAAAATAATGCATCATCACGTATATATCTTTCTTCAGGCCGAGACACAATGCGTGTCTCGTGCCCAAGAAAGCTGTTTTTTCTCCGTTAACCGTCCAGATTTCGGTATATTCTGATCCAAAGCCTCCCCAACTGATTTGAAGCTATCTTGGAACGTGGTTAAGTGGTTGCAACTGAAGATGAGAGCAAATCGGTCTTCTTTATACTTAAATCTTTTCAGGTGTAAGCCGTAAAAGGGTTCTCCTTCGATATTTTTTCCGGCAAATTGACGAGCAAAGTTGCAACTGAGCTTAGTGCCTGCAGTGAAATAAAACCGAACGATCCTTCTTCCTCCGCTGGGAGGAGTACGATTTCACGCAGTGGCGGATCTACGTCATTTAGAGTGGTGGTTCGAAATATACATTTTTTTAGTGATTTTACTCTGCGATGCAATACTAAAAACGTCCTTGTAAACACGATAGCATAAAAGAATTTTAAGGTAGAGTAATAGATGACACAATATTTTTTCACAAAGGTGTAGAATTCTTAAATGAGTTTCTTAGGAATCAATTAGGAATACCAAGAAAGTAAATAATTCTAGATGGGAGGATCTTATTGCCAAAAAGTAAATAATTCTACATGAGGAGAATCTTACTAGCCAAAAGAAAACAATTATGCTTTGGTTGAGAATTGAACCCAGGTGAGTTAAATAAAGAAAGAGGACCCTTACCAGTAGGCTAAGTCACCTATACGTGTAAATTTCATATGTATATTATCTATATAGTAGTAAAAAATTCAGGTGGTTCAACTGAACCATTTTGAACAGGAACAGGTCCGCCACTGATTTCACGTAACGAACTCTACAAGTATTTTAATACACAACTCGGGCCTGTTTGGTCTAAAACTGGTTTTAGCCTGGCCCAAGTGTTCAATCCTAATCCTGCAAATGATAAAGCTGGACAAAGCCTTCTCCGCTTCACCACCTTCAAAAAAAAAAAAAAAAAATTCCTCTAAACACCCTCTTAATTATTTTCCTGTATGCAATTTGCAAAATTTAACATTCTAGGATTTTATATGGTCAAATGCACGTACAAACTTACATGGCAAGGGTTCATGAACACACATCATTCTAGGATTTTATAACCATAGATTCATTGTTTCGGCCAATGTATTTGTCATTAATGCAAGGCATTTGACAATGTCGTACCTTAGCTATGAATTGAGATGGAGTGTCAATAAAATTCTATGACGAACAACTTTTTTTTTGGATTCCTCTGAAGCTCAGAGCTCAATCCCACAAGAGCTGCGGAGTATTATTGAGGTAAATGGTTCTCTTCAAAAGTAATTAATTTCCTTTTTATTTTATTTTCTTCAAACATTATCATTCTTTTGTATAGAACTGTTTTCCTTTGCAATATAAATCACAGTTTCCCTTGGTCGTGATCATTAAAAACTGTCTAGTACAATTTAGAGGAAAAGGCTGATAAGCTAGATTAAAAATATCATCAATTTATTTAGCTTTTCTTTACTAATGCAATCTACCATATGTTCAATTTGCAGCTATAAGCATCAACACACAGGGGAAGCTGCAGCAGCAACAACAACAAAATTAAAATTTGTTGTGAATTTTTTTATTTTTATTTTTATGGGTGCTTAATTGACTTTGTAAACTGTAAAATTTAATCAGTGACATGTTTGAAATATGGAAACATGGACTTACACTGTAAACAATGATTATAAAATATTTTTGTCACCAAGTGTAATTTCGATTTACATATTCTACTCAATGATTTTCTTTATGGAAAAATTTTCAAAACCAACCTCTTTCCACATTTAATCCCAAAAAAGACCCATTTTGAAGTTATTTACAAAAACCGACCTGGTTTCAGCATTGACGGTGAAACTAGGTTGGTTTATGTGAAAAGGAGTCCGAAACTTCACGGGAGTTGAACTCCTGTGAAGTTTAGCAAAGCTGCTAAACTTCACGGGAGTTCAGTTTTTGAACTATGAAACTTCACGGGAGTTCAGCTCCCGTGAAGTTTAGGAAGTTTTTTTTTCAAAAACCGGTTTTTGAAAATATTGTTGAAAGGGGTCTTTTTTTAGGATTAAATGTGGAAAGAGGTTGGTTTTGAAAATTTGTGCTTTTATTTATTATTAAAGAGAGGAGCTAACAAGCTGGATGCCTAATGATTAAGAAGATAATATGCAGATGAAAGGAATATATCTTGATTAATATACAGATTTGTTTTTCTGATGGAACCAACAGAAAAAACAGAAAAAAAATGTATTCCCAGACACACTGGAAAAACGACGGAAAATACTTTTCACATAGAAAATGGTTCACCATTGGCTTCCCAAATTTTCAATAATTCTATACTAGTACCTCAAACATTTCAAATTGCCAATAAGTTTCCCAGGTCTTGAGAAATCTGGCAAATCAGTCTCATTTACTTTTTCAGTTAGATCTTAAAATCATGATTGGATTACTTTTAACAAAACACAATCAATTACCAAAAAAACTCGCAAAATGTTAGAGAAGATGAAAAAGTTGGAAAAGCTCAGAAATGAGCTAAAAGAGGAGGTTTTCGACTATTGGAGAAAATGATGTTTGCGAGTTTTGGATTTTGGGTTCAATCCCGCTGAGAAATAGGTTAGTTAAAATTAACCGTAGTGTAGAACTTCCCCAAAACTTTAGATTTGAAGGGAATAGTCCCCTCAGATCTAACTTGAGGAGCAATTTGGATCCCTCAGGATTTGAGGGACCTATGAGAAATTTCAAAGATGTAAGGAACTAATTTAATATCAAAATAAGTAAATTTTTAATACACAACTTAAAATCTAGACATAAATATATACGACAAACAGGGAAGGGAGAAATCAGGATTTTGTAAATGCAGCCCAATTGGTGAACTTTCTCAATTATTAAAAAGGGTGAAATTAAGACCGTACATGCATCTCATCGCACGATCACAATTATCGTGATAATTTACATGCCGACCCCTTGATCCAACATTGACTACACGGTTTCCCCAATCTTTATGTCCATTGATATAATTATGTAAAAATCAGAGATTTGATTGATAGTGTCTAGTTTTAGTTAATGAATGTTGTTAATAATCATCCCAAATGTTAAAAGAAAAAAAAGCTAGTTTTGGCTTGTCCAATGTGAAACTAGGACATATTATTTCTATTGAGCTATGTTCTTGTATAATTATAGTATGAATGACTAATAAGTAGATTTAATGAACATAACACATCCTTTGTGAAGGACAAGAAAGATGATTCTAACTAATAGGTGTGATTAACAAGATATATATAATATATATAGTACTATATATAATAATTAATATATATATATATATTATATATAAGGGGTAGAATATTATATATAATATAGAAAAAGTTTAGCTTATCCCTTGGTCGTATCTAATCTTTAGCTTGCTTATCAACTTCTAGACATTTAATTAAGGAAGTGAGGTCATGAGCCTAAGACTACAAGGCCAATAATGCAACCATAGGTCTCTTGCAAGTTGTACTGCCTTTGGATATGATTGTGACCAGAAAATTAAAAACATAATACTACCAATAGCCTTATTTTTTTTTTGGAATTTATGAGGTCTCACTAAGAGACTAGAGTCATAATGCTTAATTAAAGCTGAGAAAACCATAATTAACTTAATTAGTAAACAAATTGAATTTCATATGCGCATACACTCATGTACGTGTACTAGTTTGTGTCTGGCCTGTCAACGAGTGGTACGTATTTACTCAAGTGTCGATATACTATGGCTCCTAAATTTTTTTTAATAAAAACTTTCATTATTTATATAAATTTTTCGCAGTTAAGATAACTGTCGGTCACATACCTAAACTAACTGAAATATAATGCATACGTGGAGTATGTTGGCCCTTTTCCAATATAAAAATAGTAATAATGTATACGTGTGATTAATGTAACCAATACTTTGTATAAAATTTATATGATCTCTCACCTATCAGAAAGGAACCCACAACTTTGGATCAGATGAAAGAAATCAATTTATCTGCTACAATGGATGGATATATAACTAATGTCGCCTTCACTAGCTACCGACATTAAAAACGAAAAATAATACTTATTAATAGTTAGAGGAGCCTATGAGCTCATGCTTATGTGTTCTCTTTGCCAAACATTGATAATATTCTTTTTTTTTATTTATATAAAATGTAGTTAATTTATACCACTTCTTCGTCATTAATTTCCAAAATTTTATAACTCGATCTAATTTATTACTGCTCATGAATAATATAGTTGTTATCTTGGTCCACAGATACCTTGACGCATTATTATATGGTCCTCAAGGTATTAGTGAACTAGTGAGTAAAGAGACTGCAATGAAGCATATATAAAATTATATTCAAGATCAAAAGTCCTAATGTTTAGAGCTACTCGAGAAAAAAGAGATATATATGACTGATAATTTTCTATCGAAGATAAATCAAGGTAAACAGATATCTAAGCGTTTTCATATATTTGGATAATTAAATTATGTTGACTTTTAAACAGTTTGGGCACGTGAGCTTTTATTCAGTATAAATGGCTTTTAATAAGGCCTTAGCCTCTAAACATTAGAGACCCAAATAGTTGAAAATTTTGGCCCAGTTCCTTAATATAAAAAATTTAATATCCACTAACATAAATAAATTAATCGAGTAATAAGTCGAGGGTCACTATGTGCACTTTTCACATTCATTAATCCGCATCTATATATCTCAACACTTTGAACCCTTAAAGCATCGAAATCACATATAATTAGCCAGATAGTTAAGT